CGTGTCAAGGCTGGTCGAGCCGAATCAGAAATGCCTTCCAGACTCGATGTCGGTAGCAGGAGAGGTTAGAGTCTCGCCCTCCCAAGAGTAGTGGTCGTCAACTGGGCTGAGGGAGCCGGACGAGATGGATGACGAAGAACCAACGGTCCACTCATCGCTATCGAGGTTGAACTCTCCTTCGAAGCTGGCTGAACCGTACCCATAGTCGGGTGCGGAATCGCCGTACTCAACATAATCGTAGTCCCAGCGGAACATCTTATCATTCTGGACGCGAGGCATGAACCGCGTTTTGGCAAAGTAGAATGCGATAGTTGCCAAGAGGCCACCACCAACGAGATCGACAGCGTAGTGGTGCGAGAGATACATTGTAGCCCACCACATCCAGAGGGTATAGATGACGAACAAGGGCTTCAACCGTGGGAAAACTTGGCTCATGAACAGAGCTGCAAGAGTCGAATCGGCAGCATGTAGGGAAGGGAATGCGCCGAAAACGACGGGAGATTGTTTGAAGCCTGAGGTGTACAGGTCTATCCCAAAAAGCTCATCGATACGAGCAAGGCCCGCAGGATTACCCGGCATGGAGTAATCAGCCGGAGCCAAGCCATACAGATTTTCGTACCACGGAGGAGAGCAGGGGAAAAACAGCTGGATGGTGACTGCAGCCATGCTGATGTACCCAAAAGTTCGAGCGAAAAGAGGGACGGTGCCGGGAGGACCAAAGACGAACATGATCGCTGAGCACACAAAGGGCGCGCCATAATGGCAGATTCCGTAGGGAAGCCACGCCAAAACGTCAAGCACCACATTTTGGTGAGCGGAAAGGATGTTACTGATGTTGGCGCCGTAAAGAATGTTTTCCAGAGCGGGCAGCACGCGAACCCAGATTGTAGGGCGCCAGTCGCTAGGGATGAACCTTTCAGACAGACATGAGTACTCATCACATATTGTAATTGCTAGAGAGAGTGTGAACTTACTGGCAAGCGTAGAAAAATATAAGCCATCCGGCAATCGGAAGGAATGGCAAGAAGAATTGGCGCGTAATCGGGAGAAGGAGAGAGATGAGGAGTAGCGTAAACGCAGCGGTCTTTGCCAGTGGTCCAGGTGATTCCATAACACTCAGGGAGAATATACCGACGATCAGAAGCAAAAGATACTGGAAGTCATAGAGTGTCCATCGATGACTTTGCAACGATCTGAGAGTGTCTGCAGGCGAGAACGATGTCTGCAACGAGGATATCGAAGAGGTAGGCGAGATCCGACTGCGAAGCTTTGACCGAATCTTTCGTCGCATACGATGCGGCACGAGAAGTTGTATGGAGCGCCATGGGACTTGAATCTGGAGCTTGCCGAACTGGTTTTGCGTCCGATCCTTCCAGGATGGAAGGGTGGTATTCATCGCTGCGGCGAGTCTGATCCCTTCAGACTCGATGATCCAGGAGCTCGAAAGGGAGATGGAGGATGCTGCAATTATAGCGGGGGAAGAATGAAGTGTGAGCTCCTATGTGGAGCTGGCGGCCAGGGGTTCCAAGGCGTCAATGTGACGAGACTCCAAGGGCGAGGATCACCGAGAGACGAAAGGTTTCGACAGCCGAGATTCAATCCGATAATCTCTATATAACGGAGAATTGATTTCGAATAGGGGGTTTAGGAGGGTGCAAGCTCCGGTCTCCAGCGGCCAAACGAGGATACTCTGGGGAAGGTCACGTTGCAAGGGTCTCACTGACGCAAGGCGGACAGGCAAGGGCAACGAGAACGAGGTTAAATCGCTAGGGGGCGCTGCACAAGACAATTTGGCCACGGAGCCGGAGGAAGGACGAGAAGAGTTGTTATGGAGGAGGCGATGAAAAAGAACAAGGACAGGGCAATTAAAAGAAGTAGGAAGTGAAAACGTGAGAAACGGGGAGATGGTGAGGATTTTGCTGTGACGAGGTAGCGCCCCATCCTGCCTTTCGTCTAAGCCCAAGAACAGTACAAAGTAATTGAAGGGCAATGGGGCCACGGACAACGACGGGTACGAGTACGGCGCCAACTCACTGGTATCTGTAATACACAGTATGTTTTTGGTAACATGCCGTTACTGTCATCCTCCCTCAGGCTACCATGAAAGCTATCCAGGTACAACCTAACTGGTTCGGGAAATTCCAGTACATACTGTTGAGAGAATGACCTGGCCTAGGTATCTTGCTTGTCTGCTATCTACTGTATGCATTAGTAGCTACCTAATCTACAAGCAATGCGAATATATCATATCAACCAGACCACTCCTACCCATTGAGAGTGAAACACAAATACATCCATAGTATCATGACATGCCCTATGGTCGGATGCAGCGGAAGCCTCGGAGGAAACGGAATTTCTGTCGCCGACCAGCAAGAGGATGTGACAAATCTCAACCACCCGACAAATAAGAAGACCACTCAAAAAAAAAAAAAGGGACGAAAAAAAAAAATTAGGTAAGACGGTATGGTAAGGTACCAAAGTTTTTCTGCGATACGCTCAATTCTGAGCTTGTAAGCATCATCCAATCATCGTCTCAACCTTGAGGCTGATTGGCATTTGGAATCCATTATGAAAAAGCTGTAGACCAATGGGAAGCTGTGGACCTTCAGGCTCAATTTCGCTTAACCCACAACGGTCACACAGTCATCCGCGGCGGACCAAAGAAATCGCCGAGCCTTGCCGCCAAGAGCCCACCATCCCTGGATCCTTTGGTTATACTTCGTAATAATGTAAGATATTTCAACCAGTACCCAAGACACAGCTCCCAGAGATCGGGGAAACCGAGAGAGGAAAATAAAAGCATCGGAATAGCGCTGAGAAGATTTCATCTTCCAAACCAGGAAACAAAACGAAAAGAGATTTTATGATGGGCCGTTTCTGCCGTAGAAAGTAGTTTCAAGCAATCCATCCTACTGTAGCCGCGGCATAGCAATCTGAGGTCCTCTTAATCACATTGATCATGTCATGCATGAACAGATACCAACATCAACTTCGGACTTAGCCACATTTGGCAGAGTACTGCCTCATGGCTTCTTATCCAGAGTCAGCTTGACCAGCCTCGTCTTTTCATAGTACGGTGTCTCCGTATTCTTACTAATTGTACAAGCACTATTCATATCGGCAGGAGACCATCCGCAGGATAAGTATTGATTGTTCGGACTCGGCCACGATCCACAACGATCCACAAGTCTATTGATCACTAATTCTAGACAGCAGGAGATCTAGTAAAGTAGTTTCTCCCATATTCGGGGGTACCTGAGGATTGGGCACACGAATTTCTCTCCCAAAAAGGGAAGAGGACAATACAGCGTGGTTTCGTACCTGACAGGTTACATATTTTACATACTTACAATACGTAATACAGACATTTACAGCCGCCAAGTTGGAAATGCCGGCAAGCCGCAGGTGTGATTGAAAGTTCTACATCCGAAGCTGGATGTTTGATGTGATGTGCACAAAGGCCCTTTCATTTTATTCCATGTCTGAAACTCCACACTTATGCATGGTCCTATGTACTAGTTTTTTCTTGTTGTTTGGTCTCTTTTGACTTGAAATGGTAGATAAGTGATGAGTGATGAGTATGGGCTTGGTACCTGCCCTGAATAATAACCCATAACAAAGTGTTATCTTGATTTCAGAAAACTGCGTCGTCCAATTTGGCCCCAGGATTTGGGTTGCTGCATGCCTGGTACTACTGACAGAGACACGAGATTACTTCTGAAAGCTGAGCCTTGCAAATCTATATTTACATTACCCGCAACTATTCAAGAGTTCCCTTCGTACTCGCTCAGCATTCAATAGTGATTGATTATCTGGCGGTTGCCTGGAGCGAAGTGGATTCGCCGAGATGAAAGGAGCTTGGGCCAGCATGATGAGCCACGATCCAGCGGATCTGGGCCGAATTAAGGAATTACCAGGAAGTTCGGTACAGCCACAAAATCATCATTTTTTAGATGAGTATTCGTACTTTCTGATCAAAGTTAACAATGCGGGATGGGGGATGAAAAGAACTGACTACATCATAATGCATCATGTCGAAGAAATGGCCTGCGAGCCAATTATTGGGCTCGAAAGAGATGACTATGGCAACATCACTTGGTTGACGGCTTAGGTGTACCATCATCTGATTGTATCAATTCTCCCAATCATGACCACATTTCAATAGCCACATGCATCGTCCGTTCCAATATCTTGTGAACGGCAAAACACGGAGGAACCGCAACCTTGCATTCTGGGGATTTTAAGATGGGATCTATCATGCTAATTACCAGATACTTGACCCTCACTTGGAAGGGGTGTATTACTCACCAAACATCTCAAATTGTTCATCTTAACGCAGGATATCATTACTTCTCTAAGGGGTCTGATTATGTTTACTGGTTTTATCCATAAACACCTCGTGATATCTATCTTGATCAGCAAATTCTGTATATAGTACACGCGTTGCGTAAGTCTTTAGAATATCTTTGGAGAATTCTCGTGGAATTTCACGCTTTAACTTCCATACCTATCCGCACTGCCACAATCACCAACAATCACCACCTCTTCGAGACTCATCAGCCCCCTTGATGATAATAGTTCGATGTGGCATGATGTCATCCAGCGCATGCGCGGAATGTAGAGAACAGACTTAGAAGCCTTCTCAGGCTTCTGGAATGTCACAGCCTGGCATGCTGGCTGTAACCGTTAGTATGGAACATTCAGGACTATGTCGCCCACCAGGAGTAGGATGGCTCAGGCGAGACTCGCAGTCGGCTGTAAAGGAGTATGTGCTCATGGCCAAGGAGATTTCCGGCGACATTGGATCTGATCTGCGCAACAAGGCGTCCGCTGGATATGCTAGGTGAAGTACACTCTTGCTTGATTTCGTGTACTGTACATTCTGGACCATGAGCCTGTCATAACCAGATGCCGTAAGTGAATATTTACAACCGGAACCGAACTTATTTTACCGTCCAACCCGACGCCTGAAGCAAAATAAAACAGAAGAATGGGGAGCCTCATGGCTCGCCATGACCCTCGCCGGAGGAAGCGAGCAATTGGAACCCCTTGACTAGTCCCATTGCTGACCCGGCTGCGACACCCCCCACAAGGACCATTTGCATGCCGCCAATGAACCCTCGTCGGATATTCTGTCTGCCCTTCCAACCGCTCACGAAGCATGTCTTGCCGTACCCGAAGAGAAACAGTGCTATAGCCATAGTGGCGATGGACCAGCGCAACGCGATGAATGCGTCGTGCGGCCCGACGAAGAAGTAAGGAAGCAACGGCACGAACCCCCCAATGAAGTAGCCTAACGCGATGGTCAAAGCGCAGATGAGCGCACGGGAGCCGGATGGTTCAGGAAGCGTGTGGTGGAAGTTCATGAGAAATGAAGGGAGCATGGGAGAGGCAGACAGGTGATCGGTGAGTTGTGAGACGAGTTCAGATGGGAGGTCGTAGGGTGCAAAGATTTCGGAGATGGTCTCTGTTGTAGCGGATGGGTCCGCGACCACTTGGTTTCGAGTCTCTTTGAGGGTAGCTCTGTAGGATTCCCTGGGAGCGGAATATCAGCCAGGCATCTAAAAAAATCTGCATAGACACTTCAGCACTCACTCCTCACTCTTTGCGCCTAAATATCCGCCCAGTCCCATAGAGATAGCTCCAGCAATGAGCTCTGCCAGACCGCCGAAGACAACCACTTTCGTATCTCCGAGAGCGGACAATCCCGCAGTGAGAGCAAAAGGAACCGTTAAGCCATCTGATAGACCGATAATGGCATCCGAAACTGTCCGCCCATCAATGATTTTAGACTCTTTCTTCTCTGTGCCTTCCCTTCGAGCTGGCTTGATTGCTTCACTCCCGCTGGCAGATTCCAGATCTTCGGACCCATTTCGAAGTGGGTAACGATATTCCTTTTCCATGTCCGGCGACTCCGTGACTGGCGAGTAGTTGGAGAGCAATCCTTTAATGGAAGTGAAAGACATATTTCGTCGATTCTCTCCTGTGGAGGCCCGCTAAAAGACGAATGATTTAGGATCAACGTTGCAGTCGAGACAGGTCTTCAGGCAAAATGAGGTGACGATTTGAAATTTGACCAGATCCAATATCCGAGAGCTCATCGCAGAGTACTTAACAGAAGGTGTCCGCCCCAACTCTTTAAATCTAATGTGAATAAGCAATTTCAGGGTGTGAAAAATTCTGAACGAATCAAAGAATCACAAGCACAATATCTAGACCTCAGAGAAGGAGGGCTCAAGATCCTGGACCACTCTTAGTGGAGATAATTCTCAACCTCATTACTTGGTAGGTCAAAGCAAGTGAACTAAGAAAATGCCAGGTCCTCTAAGCGACAAGAAAAGAGGGGAATGATGCGATCTGAATACGACGGGTCTGCCATGGAAAGTCTCGAGAAGACTTCCTTATCACCGCTTCGACGGGCCACGCAGAACGAGCACGAGCCTATCGAGGGAACATGACCAACAACGTGCTGCCAACTCTGGCAGTCAGCTGCAGGCGGAGGAGGGGATTTGCTTGGCACGTGGGCGTGTGATTCGTCCAAAGATGCGGGAGGCAACGCCTCAATGGTCAGCTGGACCCACTCCTTCGCGGGGGTTCCTGAAAGCTTGAGATAGCTTGTGATAAATCACTTTACTATATTAGAATTAGCCTGCCTTAGCAGGGCCAGTCAGAAATCATTCTTATCTACAAATGCTGTCTTATTGGAGTTGCGGTTCTGATAATAACCCACATTTTCTAAGGCGGTTAGATCAGTTGGATTACACAACTCCTCTTGAGCCCGTCTTGGCTCTCAACCGCCAGAATTAATACATCTTTCTTTATTATCTCGTCGAAGTTCTAACTTACATTAACGGGCATTGGCTGGTCTACCTGTTTGATACTTCATATGCGCCCGTCACCAATCTCTCAGCAGCTGACGACTGTTAGGTTGGCTTTTGATCACCGCAGAAGAGGTTCCGTGCTGAAACGGCATCTTCTCACGCGACCTCGATTATAAGTGTGTCTATGCTCTACGAAGATGAACTTTTTTTTTTTAAGTCGGCTCATCTGCTTAATTGCAAAGTATTCGACAGTCTTTTGAGATGAGCTATTCTTCTCAAATCTGGCGAATACGTTCCACAGGCCATCCACTTGATCTGCAGTGATAAGATACTCGAAGATATGATGTTGGATCTCGGAAGAACTCATACTGCCAGTGTAGTGATGAGACTCAATCTTGCAGGCACCGTGCTACACTTGCGAATGAGCCTTGCGCAGTGACCAATAGCCTGGCAGCTGACGGCAGATAGCAAGCATATGTAAGATGCAGTAGGGTTCCTCGCACACTGTAATGTGACTTAAGGCTCTGGATACATTGGCTCCGAGTAAACTACTTCAACCTATGAGCTCAAGATTCTAGCTCTTTAAAATGCCGAAAGGAAAGGCTTATGAGGTTGTAGATGCACACGACGCATCCTAAAGCTGTTATAGGCACTGCTGCTACAGAGTTCGCGTACGAGTTCAAGACACGATGTTTAGAGTTTTACCACGGAACTGCAATATCAATTGTGTTGCGCAGTCATACAGAGCAAACGTGAAAGTCGCCTTCATACATTCAGTGCGGACAAATCGAGGCCGTCAATCGTTCTCATGTTGGACGAAACATAGTTTGAAGAAGTGTACATCGCGAAAAGCAGTAGCAAGCCCATTGGCGAAGTATGATGGATAGAGAGAGGATTCATGCCACATAAAGTAGGAAAGCAAGCATACCGCCCTATTAATCGGCCAAACAACACCCAGAAGGATCATCTTCCAACTTGACAATGTATCAACAACATACACCCAAACCTCTTAATTTCATGATTTCGAGTACCTATTGCAAACATTAATTAGCCCTGGAGCCGGCCGCGCACAACAACGTATGATCCAAACTCACGGTTTCCTCTTCTCCGTCTCTGTCCCCGCCGTCGAGCCCGTCATATTCCAAAGCCGACTCTTATACGCCGGAAACGAGGTATGATTCCAGATGTTGACCAGAACACTATCACATAATTACAGTCAGTGATGACCGTCTCGTATTATTGACCACCCTCTGCCAACACGGCGTAGTGTCCATGAAGGGGGCCGGAGGGGGTGGGGGGAATGCTCACCTCTGGCTCCGATCCACATAGTCCTCCTCACTCAGCTCCTTCACTCCAACTTTCATCCCATCCCTTGTGAACATGACGTTTTTCTTCTCCATTTTCGAGCGAGTATTCTTGCTGACTTCTTGGGCGATGCTATACGCAATGTACCCGATAATGGAGAAGATGACGACGGCGACAAGGAGGATGAAGAGAGGAATAAGAGATTGCATTTTGGTGTTTATGTGCCCAACCAAAGCAATTAGAGGAGCTGTAACTTATTCAAAATCGAGAAAAGAGTGATGCTAAATTGCTGAAGCCTGTGTCTTTATTAGTATTAGTATTTTTCTCGTAAGTCGTAGGGCTGAGCTGAGTGGAGAGGATGACGTCGATCAGGTGCGGTGGCTGAATGACTTGAACATGAGATGTAGAGACGTACCTGTGGCTATGAGTGGGAGATTATATTTCGAGAGTGGTTCTTAAAAGACTAAATGGGACAAAATGAATCCTTGAGGAAATACCCAAATTAATGTGAAAAGGTGAGAAAAGAGGGCAGTTTGTGAAAGGTGTATGGGCGAACCATCAATCTTATCGCCAAGGCTTTTTTTGTGGGCGGGCGGCGCATAGGAATTCTGGTGCCTAGATATCTCTGTGCAATTAAATGCCCCTTTCTGGCAATATGAGGCTTTGGGCCTAGATGCAATCAATCATGTTACCTATTGGCTTCTTAGAAATATTCTTCAGCAGGGGTATCTCTCTTTGGTTGGTATAATATTATCAGGGTAGATCGTGAAGTGGCTAGTGTGGCTGCAAGTGCAACTCAACAGCTCCGCCCTGGCTATCCGACGGCAGTTGGAAACTACCTATACACAGTAGTTATCTATCAAGTCGAAATACCCTGAGGCGATAATTCCAAGTCTAGATAGTAGAAACATCACAATAACTCCTGGTTCAGCTCCTAAACATAGTGTATATTTTTCTCAGCCTGCATTCCCAAAGGTATCATTCTGCGCTCTGTCTCTGTCGTCATCATGAATCATCCGCGCATACCGACCTCTCTCATAAGGGTAAGGGTAAGGAAGCATCTATAGAAAGTATCAAATGTCAGTAGTTTTGCTTGACTAGTTGTATCGAACGACTTCTAGCCGTATTCATCCACTAAGCACATCGGGACCAATCTATTCTAAACTCAGCGATCAACATGTCCTGTCCGCCCTTCATCCCTATCTTCCCTATCTGCTTCCAATGCGGCACGGACCAGAATCCCTGCCGGTGCAAATTCGTCGGACCAACATTAGGTATGGGATCCTTTCCGGGGTTGAAGGGATGACTCTCACGCGTTCTGACAGGATTCTTCACGACTATCGTGGCTGCTGTACGGAATTGCTGTACTCCGACAATCAAGGATTCAAATCGTGGACTGACATGCGCAGGTTGTTTGCTACCCGGCGTCTCTCTTTTGCGGCTGTTGCTTTACGAAGACCGGGAAGGAGTAAGTGCTCTGCTCGGCTGCAAGCTGCGCTCAAGGGATTTTTTGGTTGACTGATCATAGCATGCTGGGGTACCCGGTCAAGTTGAATGGGATGGTTTCTGATGCGATACCAATATAGCTTGGCTGGTTCACGATGATGTTAGCATATATATTAGCTGTATATTCCCTATCTGTTTCTGAAATATACTGAGCAGGTCAGAAATCTTAACCTCTCATCGAGAATGGTGGTAATGATGTAGCACTGTACAATGAGTACAAGGAAATCAAAGACATATGTATCATGTTATTGGGCTCTGGATAAGAACCAGTTTTGCCGTAATTCAGCTGACGTCGCTCTACTCCTTACTTGGGGCACAGTCTAGCTTCATTTACAATATCTTCGTTATCATCCATGTCGTGACAATGGCAATAATTATTATTGGAACTTTGCACCGCAAGTGAGAAATCGTCTGCAGCTCATTATATTATTGAACATTACCATTCGGAAGGAGATAAGGCCAAGCAAGAGGTATACGAAGTCGTCATGAACAAAGCGTAAGCAATAGAGGTATCCAGAGAAATCAACCCGCCCATTTGGTATCATCCATCATCCTTGCCCAACATACAACATGGCCTGTGTGCGGCTACTTGAGCTTTTCCTTGAGCCGGGACCAGAAACTCTTCTTTTTCTTCTTCTCCTCCTTGGTCCCATTCCTCAGGCCGTTGCGTTGGCCTGCCGGCTTTGACGGACTGTCAGTGGTGCCTGCTGTCTGTGCCTGAGAAGCGGTGGTAGCGGGAGCAGCCGTAGTTTGTGATGGGCCCGAGGTCTCAGCGGTCTGGGACTCAGAAGGAGCGGCAGCTTTATCGGGAATTGAGCTAGGCATGAGGGTTGTGGAGCCCTCATTTTGACCAGTTCTGGCACCAGCCCCAGGAGCAGCTCCAGGACCAGACACTTCCGGGGCCTTCGCTGAAGCAACACCGGTGGTAACGGTAGGGCCCTGAGGGCTGTCAGCACCGGGAGACATTGGCTGCGACTCAGGCTCAACGCCTGTGGCTCGAGGAGCGGTCTGAGAGGTGGCCGCAGTGGCGGTGGGAGCAGGCGCGCCAGCATGTTCTTCCCTGGGGACTGTCCTTTGCAGCTCATCCTCCATCTCCTTCTTCTCCTCGACGGCCTCCGGATTAGCAGCGGCCTCGGGGTCCTTGTGAGCTTCGGCAATGGAGTGCTTCACTGGTTCAGGCACTTCATCTGCAGGTGCTCCACCGTTCGTTTGAGTTGAACCAATACCGGCAGTGGTGCTCGGAGCAGGTGTACCAGTAGACTCTTCCCTAGTGACTCGTCTTTGAAGTTCTTCCTCCATTTCCTTCTTCTCTTCGACAGCCTCTTTGTTTGCAG